GCACCACAGGTGCACTGCACCTCTCCAGCCAGCCCGGGGGCGACTGCATCCCAGCCCTGACCTCGGGCCCTTCGCCCTGCCCTGCCTGCTGCTCCCCACACGCTTCACCTGTTCTGTCCTGGCCCAGGCACTGGAGACCTGAAACATCCTCCCCCTGGAACCATCACGTGGCACAGATCTCAATTCAGGGCCCCTCCCCCACGCCGGCCACGCTCCCTGAGGGCCGGCCTTACTGGCCTCATCACTGAACAAAAAGTGCCTAAGAGATGTTGCTGGTTTGCTGTCAGCATCCGTCTCTGGGAAAAGCGCCCCCGGGAGCAGGCCCAGATTTCCCGTGGCTGTGCCTGAGTGCTAAGAACAGAGCCCGACCCAGAGCAGGCGCCGATAACTGCACGTGGGCTGAGTGAGTCTGGGCCCAACGTGGCCAGGATCAAGCTCTGCCCTGAGAGATATGAGGGACATCTGCAAAGTGCAGGCCCCCCGGCTCCAGCTACCTGCTGAGGCACCCACCCCAGGGGTGGTGAGGCTTATGCTGGTCACGCCGAAGAAAATGAATACAATGAAGAGATTTCACTTAAACTAGTGAACAAGGAGCAGGTCCCATGACAATGCATCAGTGGCAGAACAGGATGCTTCTTGATCGAAGCTACCTCTAGGAGATGCGTCTCAGGGCATGCAGGGGTCTGTGTGGCTGCTCTCAGCAGCGGACAGAGGGGGGTCCCATCAGGCAGCCAGCATTCCACATGCCTGGAGGCCCTGGCCCTGGCCCTGACCTCTACCCCATTTCCCTGGCTGGCATGACTGGTGTCCTGGACTGTGGGGCTGCATCTCAGAAATGGCACTGTCAAACTGCCAGACCCGCAGGGCACAGGAGGAATGCAATCAGAGAGCTCCTCCCTCATGGAAATCTGAACGCTGCGACGCTGAGTCCTGATGTCACTGTATCTATTCGCTCTCTCTTTCTCTAGAACAGGCTGACAAGGTACCAGTTCCACAGACCGGGAGCCACAGCGCCCCCACTGCCACAGCACGCTGACAGCAGCTCTGGCCAGACGGAGCTGTGGACTGGTAGTGGCAGCCCTGGCTCCCGGCCTCTGCTCCAGCCATCCATGGCCTGGAGTAACCGAGAGACCAGAACCCCATTCGTGTGGTGCCTCAGCAGGGCCCTGGAGCCCAGCCTGCCTCATGGGAGGCAAAAAGACAAGCAGCTGGGACACAATATGAAAGGGAAGGGGACCCTGGGCAAAGTGCTTATGCTCCTAGACCCCCAGTTACACTTTCTATAAAAACTTAGTAACAATCACTGTCTGGCAGTAAAGCCCAGAATGTGAACAGCAGCACAGCTGGCAAAACCCCAGTGACAAGGGCTGTGGGGAGACAATCTTACCTGACGCCTACTCTGTGCGTGGTGCAGGACCAGGCGCTTGCTATTGGTCAGGGCTGGTGAGCAAACCATGGCTCGCTGGTGCCTCAGTAGCAAGTCTCACTGGGACACAGCCACGCCCGCTGTCCACATCTGTGGCTGCTTCTGTGCTACGGCAGCAGAGAAGTTGTGAGAAAGTCCACATGACCCGCAAGCCTGAAATGTTTACTATCTAGCCCTTTACAGAAAACGTCTGCCAATTCTCACAGGAAACACCTTCCTCGGTCCCAGCAGCAGCCCCTCGAAGTGAGCATCAGGAAGTTGCTCGCCCACGATGCACAGGTAAACACTGAACTAGGGCAGAAACGCCCTCCGTCAGAGCTGAGGACGCTGCAGAGAACACGGACCCACAAGCGCTTCTGTGAAATACTCACATAAACCTTTTCCTTAAAGGACCCAGATCTGTTTGGCAACCAGTGGGCAATTTGGAGCCTCCATGTATAAAAGCATTCTGGCCACAGATTCTCACACTCCATGCCCCTCTGAAGCACCTGCCCTGGGGCATGGAGTAGGCAGACTTCCCCTCCGCAGGAGTCCACCCTGAGCTCGGTGTGAGTGAGCTCGGTGTGAGGCGGCTCCGACCCCCAGGAGAGGAGGCAAATGGTAGAGGAATGATCAGATCCAAAGCCCAGGGAGACAAGTGCCATCTCTCATCCCCTGCAATTTACAGCCAGGCCTGTGTGAGGAGCGCAGGGAGTGATGATTAAAGATACGTTTCGGGATACAGGCGGCAAGAATGTCACAATTAAAATTCAAGTGGCCTTCTGGATATCACTAGAAAGGAATTTAATAAATGTCTTAAGCCAAATGAAGTCATCTTGCAATACTCACCTGGCAAAAGTAAATGTATCCTTTTCTTAGAAAAAAGAATCAAGTCACTGGGGAATAGGAAAAGAACAGCTTGGAGATGTTCGCCATTCACCAGAGAGTCCCTCCCCACCTGCACGGGATATGCGAGGAGCCACTCTGAAGCCGAGTAAGCAACCAATGCGGGTGTCCACAAGGCCCTGGAGGCAGCACGGGATCTAAACGAGAGGTGGCCTTCGCCAAACTGGAAATGGAAACTCCCAGGCCCAGGAGGCCGGCTTCGCTGAGGCTCACCGGCCAATGCACAGAGCCCTGAATGTTTCCTAAGTCACTGGAATGCAGGGAAAAGAGCCTGGCTTTTGAATGTCCTGTGAGAACCTGTTCTTCATCATTCCACAGCTTACCTCGCCTGCCCCTTTGCTGCTGAGTCACAGCCCTGCATGGGGTAACCTTGCACAGGACCCCGCATCCTCACCTCCCTGCACTGACAAAATATCCCAGCAGCCTCACGCACCCCGGGATCACCCGCTGGGGGATCGCCCGCCCCGGGTTCTACCTGCCCCCCATCTGAGCTTCCCTCTCCCCTCAGAGTCACACTTCTCAGACTTACTGATGCCCTCTGACCCCACTTACTCAATGCCCCCTCATCCTGGCTGAATTCAGCCCCATGCACCTGCTCTCTGCCATCCGTGACCACTGCCGACACAGGGTTTGGGTCTGTGTCCCCACCAAATCTCCTGTGGAATTTAATACCCGATATTGGAGGTGGTGATTAGATCAGGCAGTCAGACTCACATGAATGGTTTACCATCACTCTTCACAGTGGGTGGTGTGAGCCCTTCCTCACTTTCTGGCCCTGCAAGATGCTCCAGGCCAGCTTGTCCACTCCCTGCCCAGCCCCAGTCAGCCCCTTCTCCAGGGAGCCCGGGTTCCTTTTACTGGAGAGCAGAATCCGAAACCAAGATCCAGGTAGCAGGTATGCTCATTACTCCTGGGGTATTGTTGCTTCCAGGCCCTCAGCTGACAGCAAGGAAATGCACGCATGAGCTGACACACATGTATGTGTATGTCTCTACCTGCGTCCATGTGTAGCCGCCTATCCTGTACTGAGTGAGGTGCGAGTTCACACTGGCCAT